CAGTAAATTTATTATAGTATGTGTATACAGACCCCATCTAGGCAACATTAGTGTTTTTGAATCAGTGATGGAGAATGTTCTAAAAAAGTTAAAGTCTAAAAATAAGTTTTTGATTGTAGTTGGTGACTTCAATATTAACATTCTTGAAAATAATTCAATGTCAATTCGCCTAACATCACTATTCAAATGTTTTAATTTGGTACATCAATTTTTTGAGCCTACTAGAGTAACATCTCATTCAGCTACTTGTTTGGATAATATATTTACTGATTATAATCCAGTTAGTAAATCAATTATTAATTGTATCACATCAGATCATTACGGCTTAAAAATAACATATAATACAAATGACACTACTAAGCCCAAATTCATTGAATTAAGACCAGTAACAAATAAACGTTTAGAAAATTTTCAAAACAATATTGATGATAAAATGTTTCAAATGCCATGGACACATGAGGATCCTAATATTCTTTACGGCAATATGTTCACTTTGGTTAAGAAAGCATTCGATAAGGCTTTTCCGCTTAAAACTTTGAAATTAACTCAAAAGTTGAACTTCTGTGACTGGGCTACGTCTGGTATTTATAAGAGCAGAAATAAACTTTATGATTTGTACTACTTAAGGAAGTACAATCACTCTCAGGGTTTCATTGATTATGTTAAAAGGTACTCAAAAACATTCAAAAGTGTATGTGCAACAGCCAAATCCAATTACATAAAAAATAAAATCATAAAATCTAATAATAAAATTAAAACGACATGGAATGTTATTAATAGAGAAACTGGTAAAGAAAGAACCCTCGATGATGGGATCGCACTTAAAGTAGATAATATTCAAATTAAAACAAAAGCACAGATTGCCAATACTTTTAATGAATATTTCGTTAATATACCATTAATTACTACTTCTAATTTGAATTCGACGCCAGCGGGTGCTAGGAGTTTGCTAGAGACGTGTGTGCCTCGGTGTAATAACCTGTTTACGTTTAAACATGTTGATTTTATGGATATTATAAAATGCTTTAACTCACTTAAAAAGAAAAATACGTGTGATTTGTTTGGAATGTCTATTAAAATTACTAAAAGTATAATAACAGTTATCGCTCCTTATCTTGCAGATATATTCAATAAGTGTATTGATCAAGGTGATTTTCCAGACCTTATGAAATATAGTAAAGTTATCCCTCTCTTCAAAAACGGCATAAGAGATGATCCCGGTAATTACAGACCTATATCAATATTACCGGTATTAAGTAAAATTTTCGAAAAAATTATTTTAGATCAATTATTATCGCATGTCAGTTTGAACAAACTGTTACATAATAATCAATTTGGCTTTACTAGGGGTAGATCAACAACGGATGCGGGTGTTGCACTTATTAGACATATAATGGAAGCCTGGGAGAAGTCGCAGAATGTTCTTGGGGTATTCTGTGACTTATCCAAGGCGTTTGACTGCGTTGAGCACCAGACGCTGGTGTTAAAATTAAATCACTATGGAATCAAAGGCGCAGCCCAAAACTTGCTACTATCGTATCTCAGTTCCAGAGTTCAAACTGTAGAGGTAAATGGTGTTAAGTCATCTGGATCTTATGTGAAAATGGGCGTTCCCCAGGGATCGATTTTAGGTCCGTTTCTATTTTTATTGTACATAAACGATTTGCCATTTTTTGTGGAAAAATTGTGTGAGATCGTATTGTTTGCTGATGATACTTCTTTATTATTTAAGGTTGACCGATACAAGAATAACTTTGACGATGTAAATAATGCTCTCTCACAAGTATTGCACTGGTTTAATGTAAATAACTTAAAATTAAATGCAAATAAAACCAAATGCATTAAATTCACTTTACCTAATGTTAGAAGCGAAACCATTAGAATTAAACTAAACAATGAAAACCTAGATTTAGTTGAGTCAACGATATTCTTAGGTATAACCATAGACTCGAAATTGCAATGGTATCCTCATATTTCTCTGCTAGCTGGTAAACTTAGTTCAGCAGCCTATGCCATACGTAAAACAAGACAACTTACTGATGTAGCTACTGCTAGAACTGTATACTTTAGTTACTTTCATAGTATTGTATCCTATGGTATTATTCTCTGGGGATCAGCAGCCGATATTGAAACTATATTTATCTTGCAAAAAAGAGCTATAAGGGCTATTTATCAACTTAGTTCTAGAACATCTCTTAGAGAAAAATTTAAAGAAATCGGGATTTTGACTGTTGCTTCTCAATTCATTTATAATTGCATACTTTTTGTTCGAAGCAATATTAACTATTATCTAAAACACAGTGACATACATTCTTTTAATACAAGGAATAAAAATAAACTCAAGATACCAAATTACAGGTTACAGAAGGTTCATAAATCATTTATGGGTCAAGGTATACATTTCTATAATAAGATTCCTATTGATATCCTTGATTTGCCTCCTCATAAATTTAAAATACACATTAAGAATTGTTTACTTAAGAAAGGATATTATACTGTCAATCAATATTTGAATGATAAAACGGCCTGGTTGTAATTTTACCTGTAGATAATTTTTCAAAAGCTATATTAAAACTAAGGCTCCCAGCCTTAGAAAGAGTTTTGAAGAGAACCTTGCACTTACTCCCTTTCATATACTTGTTCATTTTATTTTGAAAATTGTTTCTTGCTATTTTGGGACTTATCTTTGCACTTATTGTTAGTAAATTCATTGATTGTTACATATTTGACATTATGTGATGGAAGTTGACCTCAACACATGTTTGCAAGTTTGATGTCAACTTTCAATTGGACGACACTGTATGAAATAAAACAGGGAGAAAAAAGCAGCCCTTGCTGAGTTTCTTGCCGGTTCTTCTCAGTACAAGGTCTCCCGCCGTAGTTTTGCGAACCGATGGCGTAGCTTTTCGACATTCACAAGTGCTTGTAACAGCCTAGACTGAATAAACGATATTGAATTTGAATTTGAATTTGAATTTAAACCCTCCAATCCCCTTTTCGTCCTCCGATCGCTTTTCACCTTCCAATCCCCTTTACACTTTCCAATCCCCCTTTCGTCCTCCGATCGCTTTTCACCCTCCAATCCCCTTTACACTTTCCAATCCCCCATTCGTCTTCCGAACGCTTTTCACCCTCCAATCCCCTTTACACTTTCCAATCCCCCTTTCGTCCTCCGATCGCTTTTCACCCTCCAATCCCCGTTTCGTCCTCCGATCGCTTTTCACCCTCCAATCGCCTTTTCACCTACCAATCTCCTGTGCTCAAAAAGGGATAGTTTAAGTTCTCGCTTCTGTCGTGCGTCCCGAGACGCGCAGGTTTTTTTTAGATTATAATAACAAATGCTGCTAATTAATGGAATCAGATTATCCTCACCTTTTACTGGAGGTTGATTTTAGCGCCTAGCCGTAAATAAACAAAGAAATATTATGAAAACAAAATGGCCGTCGAATTCCTAATAGGTACCTAAGTGTCGCCGCACACGGGCCACACGCCACAGCCACAAACGCCGTCACGAGAAGCTAGAAGCGGCTACTAAAGTGGCTGAAGCGCGTGACAGCGGCCGACTAAGGTAAGGGAGGGAGGGGTGGGGAACCGCGCGAGTGACGTGTGGCGGCTTTTTGTATCGGCGCATTAAGTGACTGCCACAAGAAGCGAGCAACGACGATTTGTAGCGTGTGGCGGCCACCGGCGCTGGCGTACCGTGTGTGGCGAGTCCATATAAAATCTATGAAAACTACAAGAAATATGCCGGTGACGGCGGTTTGTGGCTGTGGTCGGTGGCCCGTGTGCGGCGACACTTACTATGGCAAATAAACAAAAGTAAGCTACCTACCATACCGACTTTAACACTCGAGTTTTTGTCTCGACCAAGGAAGTCACAAGAATTTGATTAACCTATAATATATCACCGCCCTGATGTTGGAAGTGGAGTCCAGTCTCATTAGAAATCAATTATGCAGCAAACTTATTCATAGCACAAATAACTTATTTGAATGCAATCTTATATGATAACTTGCTGATCCAGCGAACTTCGTACCGCCATAAAAAAATAGGGGTTGGTGGAAGAAGGTTGAAAATTTAGTGTTGTATGTATTTGTGTATAATGTATCATAAAAAAAATAAAAAAAAAAGTTTTATCTAAAATTGGAAAAAAAAATTTAGGGGTGGATTACCCTTAACATTTAGGGGGATGAAAAATAGATTACATCCGATTCTCAGACCTACTGAATATGCATATAAAATTTCACGAAAATCGGTCGAGTTTCGGAGGAGTTTAACCACAAACACCGCGACACGAGAATTTTATATATTAGATATTAGGTATTCCTCCCCAGACGAACATATTTCAATTGTTAATGTCTGCTGAGAGATTTTCAAATAAAGTAAGAAAAGGAATCAATAAGGTTACAAAGTGTATACAAATAAAGCTCATATTTGCAGATATTATAATTATATACGCCATCCTAAGCTTATGAAAGAAGCGAAGTCGCGGTCCGCACCATTTCTCGATAAATCGAAATTTGCCGTAATCATCGGACAGCGGATCGCGAAAATCAATAGTCGATGCTCCACTGCTGTGCCCCGTGAACTATATCAAAATTATATCATGTCATTCGTCGATAAATTCATTAAAATAACATCAACCTTAATTCTGTAGCTCGAAGGTGCAAAATTGATCAGCACCGTGCTACAGTTAAAACCTTCCCGCGCTGTCATACACGAAAGAACGGATAATCGACGACTAGCCTTGTGCGATATCGATTTTGCTAGGGTGTACTTTCAACAAAACGAAAGTACAACAATGCATGCGTCCCCGTTCTAATATAGCGAAAGCGAGCGAGTTGGAGAGAGATGGCGGAATGAAACTCGTTGCTTCTCCAGCAGGGGTCGCTCGGCGCGGCGTTGCTATGGCAACAGGTCAAATGACGAGGGTGAAGATTTCCGATATTACGAGATCGCAGTATCAATTTTCGATAAAATTATTTTGAGGTCATATTAAAATTGTAATAATGGCAGATGTAAATATTACAATAACTATTAATGACGATGACAAAGTGATCAAAATATGCTTAGAAGACGAAGAGAACAGATCAAATAATGTAGTTATGAATAATGATTTAGTTTGGGTAAGCGCTTTTGTTTTACAAAATGGCGGATCTGCCAAGTTGATGGATTAATTTATTGATGTTTTTGAGACGTCGCTAATGTAGTACCTACCTGTATTGATTTATTTTAGGTGCTCAAGTTATCGATTTCTATGGTATAATCTTATTTGCATTTACTTAGTTAAAATTGCCGTTATTATGAGGAATGCGACGTAGCTTGTTTTGATGGGGAGTAGACACGGCGGCGATCTAATTTAACGCATTTGTAGGAATCGATTGGGTATATAATTTGGACATAGTTAACATAAACAAATCTAGATTATGCTTTATTTTATGTACCTATCTATGCTTACGTAATTTTTCGTAAGTAACAAAAACAAAACAAAAATATTTTTGTTTTGTTTTGGATGTTATAAAAATACATCGACCGTCTCGATCTGTTAGGTATCGATTGAGTAACGATTCGTGCTGTAAATCTACAAAGGTAAGTTCCGTATGATACCGAATTATCTACTCAATTTGCCTATTGGACATACAACTAGAATGGGCCGTACTCAGATTACGGAACAGATAGATGGAGCACGCGGTACACAGATTACGTGCTACCAAAGCAAATATCAAGTCAACAGTTTTTTTTTGTCTATGTGAACAGTTTTTACAATGTTTGAACACAGCGGCACAGTTTTGATAAAAACTTAATATTCACGGACTTTTCACAACAATATGCGTTGTAGTTTACTGCCGTGAGTTGTTTCGTTAGTTAGTTTGGTTTATTTCACAGATTATTTTTAAATTGTTTTTTTTTTTAAATAAAATCCCAATTGGTCGATTTTAATACGATTTTTTTCCCCATGGTATTTTGGCTCACACATTCGGCCAACTTTTCCTACTCCGTGTAATGTAGGCCGCGGACCAGAGGCCAGTTGCCTCCTAAGCTGCTCCAATCTGCCTTTAGTTCTGAATTTTCAAGGAACAACAATGGTATTGATGTTTTCAAAACTTAGACCATTAAACATCTCTTATCTATTAGACAAGTCCGACCGTCTGTGGTGCTGTTTCAGCGGTCAAACCGTAAGAGATAGATAAAGACAATATTTAAGTTATAAGTTAAGAATAGTCTGATAAGACTACAAACCGGATTTGAGTAACGTAGCACTTCCGGTTTTCGAGAAATCACGTGATTTCTATTTCAAACGAAACCACACAAAATCTCCGAAGTTCTCAATTAATTAAATACATTTTTTTTTAAATCAGGTTTTGGTGAACATTTGGTTCACTGGTTTGCTAGTTAAATTTAATGGTCTAAGGTTCAAAAGAAACATCTCTAGTTTGTTTGGCCCTGGTACTCAAGATCCTCAATTTTCATTTTTTATTTTATCTTATTTTTATTACCTCGTTTTATTAACTTTGTTTTGCTTTTATTTTGCCATAATTTTATTTATGCTGTGTAATGGACATTTTAGATGACAGTTTAGATTTTTACCAGATTTATGATTTGTAACTATGTGATAACTGCACTCTGTTTGTGTACCTATTAAATAAATAAATAATTCGAGGCCGTAGGTACGGATTGTTGAGTGGCATAGACGTCGATGATTGCAGATGTCACCGTCACCAGAAATTTTATTATATATAATCCAACAACAAGTTATCACAAACTAAAGATTGTGACTTGTGTTTAAATAAAATATCTTGAACTTGTAGTAATATCGATTTGACATTTATTTAGTTGATTATAGTAAAGAGTTTTTGCCTTTGAATTCAAATGAAAAATAATTCATTGGCTACAATAATCTTTTATTGGAATGATGTTCCTTTTCGGACAGTATTGCGGATGTGGGCTAAACAAAAATTTACCGTTATAACCTAGCTAGGCAGTTAGCTAGGCAGCTAGATGGGCAGCGAGGGTAACCGAGGCAAACGAGGTAAACGAGGTAAACGAGGCAGTGGTTGTGGATTTGCTTTAAAACTTTGGTTATTGATGGACTGGCAGTGTCCGCACTGGGCTCATTCCGCACTGGGCCCAATACGGATGGGTGGGTAGGATTTTTTTTAATGGAATAGGAAGGTTAGAGCATGGCCATGACTCGCCACGCGGGCCCAGTGCGGATTGGTGGGTAGTATAGAAATATTTTTAATTACGTTCTAACCGTGTAAAAGTATTCTACGAAACTTTTCTTTACGCACGCTTGACTAGGGGAGTAAGCTGGACTAAATTAATATCTTTGTTTCTTAGGTTTTCACGCACATCACTCATTAAATAAAACTAGTTTAAACGGGTTAATGCACGAACTTTATTTATTTATTTATTGACGTTTCGCAGCCTTTTCAGATCTGCATCGTCAGAATAAAGAATTTTTATTTTCTTTGGCGAGCTACCTTCGAAAGATTTTTGAGCGTTCGGATATTTCATTGAGAGATTTTTTAAACTTTATTGTCTATGTATGAATTTATTAGTTAATAAAGTAGTTTATTAAAATTTATTTTTTGTAATTTTGAGTTTATTTATTTGACCCTAGCTAGCGTAAACTAACCACCGGTTCCAAAATTGGGAAACCTTTCTGAGAAGAACTGGCGAAACAAACTCATATAGGCTTTCTATCTCCTTTTTATGTTAAATTATAGAAAGCCTCTCTGGTAGGTAAAGGTAGCTCAACAAAGAAAATAAAAAATCATTATTCTGACGATGCAGATCTGAAAAGGCTGCGAAACGTCAATAAATAAAGTTCGTGCATTTACCCGTTAAAACTAGTTTTATTTACATTCATCATCATCATTATCAGCCTATTAATGTCCCCACTGTTAGGGCACAGGCCTTCCCTATGGATGGGATAGGGAGATTGGGCCATGACCCACCATGCAGGCTCAGTGCGGATTGGTGGGTGCTAACGACTGCAGAAGCATCCGGGACCAACGGCTTAACGTGCCTTCCGAAGCACGGAGGAGCTCGAGATAGTAAATTTTTGGTCACCCATCCAATGACCGACCACTGCGAAAGTTGCTTAACTTCAACGATCGTAGCCGAATGCGCCAACCACTTGCGCCATCGAGCTCCTCTATTTACATTAATATCTTCAAATTTCGTTATAACTGTCCCATTGTACACAATCCGGCCAACGGTGAACTGCTCAGTTTCCGTTAAGATCAATCGCACATTGAGCCACTACATACTCAGCCAAGCCACTAGACGCCACCAATCGAAGCTGCTAGTGGCTTAGTGGCTCGAATGTTGGCTTTGGCTAGTGGCTTGACTGTGCCACGAGTGGTCACGTTTTGTGGCTTAATGTACAGTTGTTCTAATACTGGCTAGTTTCCGCACTACTTTATAAAACAAAGTCCCCCGCCACGTCCGTCTGTCTGTGTGCATTATTTTCCTATAACAGAACAACTATCAGACATAACATCCTAAGTTATTCTGGTCCCTTCAATGTCGTTATGTTCGGTTCCGTCTGGAGTAGTACATAAATGTCTATAACTATAGTTAATTAATTTAATTAAAAACAAATATAAATAGCATGAATTGAATTATAATGTTGTAAAAATAAAATTGTATTTTATTATTTTCGTGCCCTACTGGGTCCATAAAGTTCCATCCAATAATTGTAACACCGTTATTATACTTATGGAGAGAAATTACAATTATTGATTGATTAATCTCAAAAACTACTTGGTGTATTTTTATGCCATTTTAACTATCAGTAAGATACTTTTAAAACAAAATCGTCTGAACTTTTGATACAAAATCGTCTGAACTTTTGATACAAAATCGTCTGAACTTTTGATACAAAATCGTCTGAACTTTTGATACAAAATCGTCTGAAAACACTTCACGTTGTAGGTAAACAAATACCCATTATCAGGGCCCTATTTGCCCTAGGGCTAAGAGGGCCTCCAACGGCTTCTCCGTTTCGCACCCGTGAGACTTGCGAGAGGCTAGGTGTGAGGTCCGTTCGTTGGTGTGCCCTTTAAGGGCGCCAACGTCTGTAAATAGAGGTTTTGCCTGCTTAATAAAAAAAAAGGGCTAGGAGAGCCATGGTCCAGGGCGGCAGGCTGCGTGGGGCGGCAGAAGCCATATCAAGACATGCGTAACTGACTTATATTTTAGTTTAGTTTTGCAAATTTTCTGATTTGAGGTGCAAATTGTAAATGACCCAAGGCGCCAGATTTTAAAATACGCCTTTGCCTGTGTACAGGAGCGGATCGGATCGGCACAGCCTATCAAAAATTGTCCAAGTGCGAACCGGAGTCTCACACATGATGTACATCATTCCTACACAGATTTTGTAGAGTGTAGTTCCACGTAGGCAAAACCATGGGGTAACAACTCCTTAAAGATTGTAATGACTTTTTTGTGCGAAGTTCCTTATCCCATGGCATGGATTTGGCTAGAAAAAAGGTTTAAGATTTTCCATTACGACCGTTGTAGTACCGTGTGTGTAGTTGGACGATAGGTGTTCTTAGTGTCGCTGCACGCGGGCCACACGCCACAGCCACAAACGCCGCCACGAGAAGCTAGAAGCGGCTACTAAAGTGGCTGAAGCGCGCGACAGCGGCCGACTAAGGTAAGGGGTGGGCAATCGCGCGAGTGACGTGTAGCGGCGTTTTGTATCGGCGCATAAAGTGGCCGGTGCAGGCCACAAGAAGCGAGCAACGACGATTTGTAGCGTGTGGCGGCCACCGGCGTACCGTGTGTGGCGAGTCCATAGAAAATGTATGAAAACTACAAGAAATATGCCGGTGGCGGCGCGTTTTGTGGTTGTGGTCGGCGGTCCGTGTGCGGCGACACTTAGGCTGCTTATGCTTAAGTTTATTTTTAATTTAAATCCGTTCCGACCGCGTGTTCCACTTCACTCACATTTGCTTTTTTATATATTAATTTCCGACAAATGACTACACACCACCTGATCTTCAGACGGTGGAGTTCTGACGTGAAGTTAGCTGGTGCAACAGTTTTATCTGTTACATCAACCTTCCTCCCCTTACCATCATCCCAGTTTCTTCTTTAAAAGGATCCTGAACTG